CCAGAGAACAAGAATTAATAAGACATGAGTAAGAAATTGGACGGTCAAGAGTTGTGCAATATTCCTAAGGTTGTTACAGTTATGTTGGTCCACCACCATTTATCAGTTTGTACATTCATGCTCAATGCACAGCTACTTTTAAAACAATAATTCTGTTAATTAAAAATTTATCATTGCTTTCAATCACAGCAAAGAAAACCTTGGACTTATAAAATTAGACACAAATCATTCGTTAAGCACTTGCCAAGCAAAAAAACAGTAAAAATGTAAAACAGTAAAAATGGACCATCAAACTGAAGCACTCTGGAATATGTTTCTCCTTTAGTCAACAGCTTTAAAAGGTTTGGATGAACTGGACTTCCTTTTTAGTGCTTAACTTCTGAAGGGTTTCCAGAGGAATTGCAGAACTTCCTGAAGATGTGATGATCCCTGAAGAATCCTAGTTATGCACTTGGTTCCAATATGTTAAGCTATTCCCCCAAGGACACCACATCTGCCAATTAACATTAGTCTCCATTGTCCCAGTACCATGTCAAGCTGCTATTAATTGAAATATCTAATTGAGCTTTAGAACATTTCAGCCTCCGAGACTGTTCAAGCTACCCAACAACTCCAGATATCTTTAGATACGTCACTGTTTCATAATATACACTTTAAAGAGATTGTGTTTACTGAACACACACCGTTCCTGGAATGTACCAATAATGGAAAACAACTCAGCAGTAATGTAGCATTATTGTAGTAATTTAAAAATATGATCCTGAACATTCTGTGTATGCTACAGACCCACAAACACGCAAAAAAGATCATAAACATACGTAACTACTTTGGTCATCGTTTTGCCAATTCTTTTATCTTCTATACAAAAGGCACATCACCCGTCTGTCTCTCCAAAATCCATAGTGCTTTTTGTGTACTATTATACCATGTAACAAAAAATTGGAATAGTTGGATTTTTATCTAAAACGTCACACTTAAGTGTGTCACTCAAAGACTACACTTCTATAGAAAATTGCTTGCACGCAGGAAGTTAACAAATTTAAACCTTTGTAAGTCAGTATTTTGCCTATAGGCTCAAGATGTATTTACATCAGGGTCCTCAGTATCTATATTATTTATAATACAGTATGCATCAGAATGTTTAACGTGAAACTTTTTTTTTTTTTTACACTAAATTATTTCTTTTGTATATTACCTTACTATTAAAATACAGAAACGGTTATGTGTATGTGGGGGAAAAAATAAAGAGGAATAATCAACAGGAAAAAAATAATATGAACACAAAATGTACAAACAATATCATAGGTAAGGATCAAAGGCCAATAAACTTTGTGTTCTGAACACGTGTATATTGCACACAGAAAATGCAAATACAGTAGTAAGATAAAGTATTTTTTTGTTTTTAGCGAAGTAAATTTCTCCATACCAAGGATGAACCAAGTACAGAGTGATTACGCTCAGCAGGCATACTCTGAGAGTTTTGCTATGATTTAATTAAAATAGTTCATCTCTTTTGATAGGATCCGCATAAAAACCTACAATACATTGAACATATTTAGCTGTATAAAATTCCTAGAGCTACATTGCTGTTTGAACCTTTTCCAAAAAGTTTTTTAAAAGGAAAGTCTCACCACATACTTAAATTACAAATTGCATCCATTTCAACAGGGCTCCTTCTGTATACAGTTTAGGTGATGTTAGATTATATTAAATGATATTGACAGAATATTAATACATATCTGTCTAGACTCTTTCCACCACTCCCTCAAGTTTTCCAAGAAAAAAAAGGTAGAGCTATTATTTAGCTAAGATATGAATATTAAATTCCCAATGAATCTTTCCTGCCAGGTACCTCAAGTTTTAGGAGAACATGAGATCTTAGTTCAATAAAACTATACTGAAGTTTTCTATAACTAGAACACAACACTGAATCATTTTGTTTGAAGGTGATTATATTCCACCCTAATAAGTGGATAAGACTTTGTCAGCTTGAAATTTAGTCAATTTTAAAAGTGAGTTTAAAGTACTTTTGGATACTACGCCTGCTCCTAAGTCTCCCTGCCACTTTTTGTGGTTTCACAGTCACACTTTACTAGTTTTAAAAATGTTTCTCTCTATACTGTTGCTCTGAGAAAGACCCACACAAACAACAGGGGAAACAAACCATACAATAAGAAACAGTTAAACTGACTATACACAAAGTGCTGTCAAATACACAAAGTAGACTAGCTGGAAAAAAGTGAGAAAACTATTTTTTGTTTACTAATGTTAAGTATTACTTGTAGCAATGGAAGATAAAATATTTTCAAAGATACGTGATTTTAAATTGACAGATTTTAAGTTGAAGACAGAAAGCTCTACAGAAGAGCTAAGTAGACAGGACAGACATACACAAAGCATATAACCCCATGATACATTTATCACAAACCTCAATAACTGCAGCCCTTGTCCACATGTCCTCTACCTAACCCCAGTGGATGACCTCATGTCTCTTTATATTTTCTCTCAACCGTAAGCTCTCTGGGACAGGTACATTTCTTTTGTCTGTAAAGTACCATGAATATCTGTGTCGCTGGAGAAACATTAAATACAAGTATAATCTACAGAAGATTCCTTACTGTAGAAAGAACCCTTAGATTCTCTTGCGGCATGTGCAGTTATTAAAGAGACAGAACAAATCATCTAACTATAACAATTTGATACATAACCTGTACAAAGCGAATTTTGAGGCCCAATATCAATTATCAATAATTTGAATTCTGGAAGCACCCAGAATGTGTTAAGTGCTATTCTTTCACACACACACACACACAGCTTACAGTCTAAGGCCCTGATCCTGCAAAGACTTTAAGCACATGCTTAACCTTACTTCAGTGGGACTACTCTTGCGTGTAAAGTTAAGAACATGTGTAAATATACATAAGACCAGGGCATAAGGCCCTGATACTTGCCATCAGATTCACATGGATGGATCCATGTGTCAGTGTGGAGGCCTCATGACTTTACTGGGACTCAACACAAATGCAAAGGTCCACCCAAGCAGATCCAAATACAAGAATATGGCCTAAGACAGTGGTTCTTAACCTTTACTGCAGCCTGCACCCGTTTGGTTCTCAAAATATGTTCTCGCACCCCTTATCAAAAATCCAAATATGTTTTCGCACCCCTTATCAAAAATCATTGAAATAGGTCAGTTCTTTAAACCTAGATATATTTTTGTTTGTATATTACAGTAATCGTTAAAAAATGTATAATGTTAATAAATACATATGTTTGATGAAACAAAGTAGTTGTACTTACGTACCTGTGCTTAATTTGTGTTTTCAATGATTTACCTTCTAAAAAAAAATCTGGCATGTCTTGCACCACCAGAAAGGGCATCTCGCACCCCCAGGGGGTGCGTGCACCCCAGGTTAAGAACCACTGGCCTAAGATAACAAGTATCACACAAGAGATAGGAAATAGGGATGTAATAAAATATACACAATTTTAATATACACGTTTTTTTTTAAAAAGTGTCAGTTATACCAGCTGCTTCGCAACCTAGCCATTATTAGTTGGCTAATTAATTTTAGGTATCATGCAATAGAAGTCATCCAAAACACAATGCTAGCAGTCCCATCTCACATCAGACCTTACTAATGAACACATACAATTTGAAGGTACCTTCTTCCCCCCACTGCCTGCATTTGCTAGTTGGCTTGAAAAGCAGAGCAGATCTCAAAGTTTACAGGCGACATCAAAACTGAATGGAAGACCAGATTAGTATATAACACATACCAAACTAATCAGTCCTCTTTTGTTGGATTGTTCCTACAGGATTTGTTTTCTTTATCCCTACTAAACCCTCTTCCCCCCCCCACACCCAAAAAAAAAGATGTTGGTAGAGATCCTTCTATAATCATGTCACAAAGACAACTAAAAATAAAATAAATTTCAAAGGATAAATTCAAGAAAAAAAATGAAATTGTTTACCACCACGATTAATAAATTTAACCCACTTCTAGTGTCTGAAACCCATTTTTGTCAGAAACAAACTTATCTCCCAGCATTTTAAAGAGGTACAAATAAAATACACTAGACTAGAACTGCTTATTGCAAAGAATTTTTTTTAAAAGCAAAATATTTTACACACTCTGACATCTGCACCTCCAATTTGGCAATCCAATTAATTTAGCAACCCCCAAAGCTCAGTATTATTGTGTGCAACCAAATACATGGAACTGAGCCAGTCTCCCATATACCACAGCCCCAAATGAGCTGTGGGAGAGTGGGTAAAATATTACAGCTCTGGCCTGGTACCCCAATTCCACCCCCAATAGTCTCTGGAGTTCCTGACCCCCACCTTCAAGGTCCCTGCCTTTATCCCCAAACCCAGAGTCACCATCCTGCCTAAAAAGCCTCTACATGCACCCAAACCTCCTCCTCTCCAGAATCATTACTTCTCTCAAATTCACTGCACCAAAGCTATCCTCCAAAGGCACCCCAGCCCAACACCACCACCAAAACCACCACCAGGCCCTGAGCTACTGCCCCAGATCCCAG